CTGAGAAATTTACAAAAATGAGTGAATACATTTTGAATGCATTGCTGTCAGTTTTCATTGGCCTCCTTTTATCTGTTCAATTTTTCCGAAAAACCATCTTTAAGTCATAAATCCATTCATTTGTTCTTGTCCCACTCACTTACTGGTCATGAACCAACCCCATTACCATTTCCTTTTCAAAATGTCAATCAATCGAGTAAAGATGTGCACTTTTTCAAGCAACGAACCATTTAATTGAGGAATCTTTGGTAGCCACACAATTTAAAAGATGGATGCGGTTTGTATAGAGCCTAGGCGCTAAACAATTAAATTAGAGCCTACCTTCAAATGGTGTCGAGAAATGTGGTTTCAATGTTGAAAATCTTTTTGATGGCCTTAAAATATATTTTCATTTTTATTTATAAAGTTTAAAGCTTAAAAAATAGTGTAGATTGAGATATCTATTTTCACCCCCATTTGTGAGATTAAAATTTAAAAAAAAAATACAGATTGAAGAGATATATAAATACTTGAAAATCTTAAAAATAGACGGTCTAAATATTATATTAAGAGATGAACTATTTGTATAATTTGGAATTATTTTTTATTGATATCCATAACCATATGACTGGCCATGCTGGATACAGTAGAGACTACACCCCAAAAGTCAAGATGATCAACTACAGGGTTTTCCAATGTCAAAATAGCAATTTCCAGTGGAATTTTGAGGTGAGCATATGAGGCTCACGTCTTATGAAACGGTTTCCTTGTATTACGAGTGATTTAAAAAATCTTTAACTCGGGGTCGCCTTGGCTTATCCGTTCAGACTTGCCCGCATCCTTCACTCTAAATCAACGAGATGCTAGTTCTTGATGACTAATCCAAAAAAACTAGGTCAGCAGTTCATGAATTTCTACCCAAGAGTTTACCAGATCAGGCTATCTGACCCGGCTAAGTTTGAATCGGGTTCATAATCTTTTCTAGTTAAAGCCCGAGCATAGGTTTTAAAACACTGGTTAAAAAAACATCGAAAAATGGTTTATAAAACATTTGGACTCATACCCGGACCCGAGGTCGGGTTTGCCAGTCGGGTCCATTACCACCATATGACTACGAGTTTTTTTTTCCCTCATTTTTTTACTACCATATACCCATATTATTGGCTACATTTACAGCATTGCACAACATTTATGAATACCCACATATACTCATATTCCTTATTGTGTTTACCATCATGTACCCATATTATTGACAACATTTATTAAGTACACCAATATTATTCGGTTCGGGTATGGCAAGACCCGAACCCGGACCCAAATAGTATTCGGGTCTAGATTTTGGACTCATACCCGACCTTTCAGGTCAAAAAATTGAACCCCATACCTGGACCGAAGGTCGGATCTACCAGTCAAGTCTCGAGTCTGGTCGGATCCATTGTCACCCCTCTCGAAAAATAAAACCCTGTAGCTCGGACAGTATTTTTGTATTAGTGGGCGTGCAATTGAGTGAGCATCGATTGTGGTCGATGTGCATAGAGGCTTCACGTCTTCTTATTTTCAATTATTGGGTACCCCTTAACCCAATTTCATCCCAACCTTCCTTTTGCTTTTTGAGAAAGAAGTTTGATTGCCTCCAACTTCTTTTTATTTTTTGTGGATGTTATCAACCCCCCAAAAAAATAACGTGTTATTCTCTATCCATTCGAAGTTGCCCATCACAAGCACATTCCTTGTTTTCTTATCATATTGTGGTCTTATTTCATTCCATCAATTATATCATAAGATAAACGATATATTGTTTATAAAGTTAATATTGAAGGTGCATACCGGAAGGTATTGAAAAAGTATGGGGAAAAGGCTGCGGTCATACTGGTAGCACCCCGACACTTTAGTTGTGGTTTTCATTATTATTGACACCACCTCACTAACATCTTCAAAAAACAAACTCTTAATTTATTTTAAAAAAATAAAAAATTAGATAAAGCATATTCCCCCCCACCGAGTTACCCCAAAATAAAAAAAAATAAAAAAAAATCCTTTATGCAAATATGGGTGATGTTTGAAAACACTTTAATTGTTGAGAGAAGAATCTGGGCTGCATTTCATTCTATATGTGGTGGTCGTATCGTCCGAAAAAGTGTGCAACAAATTTGGCAAAGCGAGTAATACGGGGAATGACTTAAATTACCAAGCATAATTTTGTGGAAAGGACAAAACCACCCGTTTTATTTCCTGTCATATTTGGATTATCAATAAGGTATTAAATGACCGCTGCTACAAGCAGTAAAATATCGATTGCTTCTTATTGAATTCAGGGAATTGCATGAAAGTAGGTTTCTCCAAATTCAGGGTCAAAGAGCTTCATAAAATGTCTCGGTGGAAAAAAAAAAGATCCCACTTAGTCAAATTATGATTATAAGAAATAGTGATAATTTTTTATCTCAATTCGACGATACATGATTTTAGTTGATGTCGTCATTGATTCTTCCAATAAACTTACTTTTATGAACGTGAAATATATTGAATTATTCGGTTCGAACTGGAATTGTCAATTAACGTAAATGTTTACTCGAGACAATAATTGATTGTGATCAGGCCAGATAGATTGCCTCGTCGATGCGGGTTGTGTCTCGTTCAAGATTCATCCAACGAAATACCGTTTATTAATCCCACTTATTTGTTTTTTACTTGCTTTTTATTTTTTATTTTTTATTGAGTTATATTTATTAGTTCATGTATTGTTATAGAGTTTTATTCCATTATCTGATGGCCAAAAGTGATTGTGATTTTTATGCACCAAAAAATTATAATCACATTGCACATCTAAAGGTGGTAGAACAGTCAAATATGAGCGTTACATGCTAAAATTTAAAGGGTACGGTTTGTATATAGCCTAGGCTCTAAACAATCAAATCAGAACTTATCTTCAAATAGTATCGCCAAATGTGGATTCAATATTGGAAATCTTTGTGATAGCCTTAAAATACATTTTCATCTTTATTTATAAAGTTTAAAGCTTAAAAAATAACGTAGATCGACAAATCTATTAATACTTTAAATTTTTGAAAACTAACGATCAAAAAATGCGTCTACACTATTTCCAAAACTTGAAATCCATTTTTTTCTGATGTTCATGCATCTTGACGATGAGATGATCAATTTGAGATATTTGGATATCAAAACAACTTCTTCTAGTGAAATTTTTTAGGGAGGCTCAAATTTGATTGTTTAGAGCATCGGCTCTATATAAACTTTGCCCAAATTTACATTACTTCTATTCCATTTTTTATCAAAAAAAAAAAATAGAATGGATGGAAGTGTAAGCCCACACAGTTGGGTCATTTTAGTTGGGGAATGCCTCTAGATGAGTGACTAAAAATATTGAAATGGGGCCGTGGATCCTTGGATCCGTCTCCAACTAGTTTCAGCTTGGGCGATTTTTAAGTCGAACATGACAATATACTATGTAAATTTTTGTAAACTGATAAATAAGGAATAAGGTGATTCCGAGTTTCTCGAATCAGAAGTACATACGTTTTGTTCATGATCAGAATCGGATGGTCAATTTTCAATTTACTGTTTTTTATTTTAGGGTAGTTAATTTATCGCTTTGAACACGAAAGAATGGGAAGTGTGAAAATCAAAATAGATTTTTTTGTATACTTGGTCTTATAGGAGGTCTCTCCATTTGCCACTTGCAAAATGTATCGCACTCTGATTAATGTCAGAAAATAACAAAAAAAAAAAATTATATAAAGCCTAGATCAAAGTAGAACGTCACCTCAAAACTTTGTCGAAATTTGTTGTTTTGGTATGAAAAATCCATCACATGGATCATATTGAGCTCGATAGTTTTTTATATAGAAAAAGGGCGATTTAAAGCCCTAAAAGAGTATATTATGACATATTATTTGTAATTACATTTTCAAGTTCTTTAGTCTATAATCGCGGGTGAAAATATATCTTTAGACTATCACAAGAGTTTACCGGCCCCAAAATTGAAATATGTGAGAGATTTTTAAGGGGCAACTTCATAGCATCAAGCTAATGCCTTATTATAACCGCACCGGAAGACTATATACTACAAGATGAGCATACTTTACATTTGAGAAAATACACAACAATATCATATATTTATTGTTCGAGAAGGTATGATCACCTTTACTGGTTAGATATGATATCAAATATTACAAATTACAATAAATAGCATATTATACATTATTAATATCATCATCAAAATCTTTTATTAACTAATTAAGGTCGGTTACATGAAGGGTTTGCCATTCTGCTCTATCAAGAGTGATACCTTCAATGATGTCATAAATTTTCATATTTTTTATTACTATTTTCAATCATGTATTTTTGAGCCTACTTTTTGCCTCTATTAAGCATTTCACTTAAACTAATTCGCACTTATTAATAAGTATTATACTTGGTTTGCGTTACACATGTCCAACCCACTTAGGTCCACTCTCTTTCATCTTATCGTCTATTGATGTCACACTTAAATCTTACCAAATATATTCATTTTGAATTCTGTCCCTTCTTGTCTTGCCGCTCATTTATCTCAATATCTTATTCGTTATGTTTATTCTATAGATATATTGTTTTTTAACTACTAACATTCCACTTCATAGAGCAAAGCTCGTCTTACAACTACCATATGAAACTTGCCTTTCAGCTTCATTGACAATCACATAAAAAACTGGTTGCGTATCTTCACTTCATCCACCTGTAAGTGCGATTTCTTCCTCAATCTCTCCATATTCTACATTTAAGAAATATACAATTTTGGTGCAGGATGTGAAATTGCAGTGCGATGACTCGCTATCAGCTCAACCACCAAATTTTAAATCCTACGCTCAGAAAGAGTGACTGCAAATTTGTGACCTTACCAACAGTCAATGGTCTTGCAATTTCATTTACTCTAAACCAGTGAAATTTATTTCGTCGCTGCATCCGAAATCACCTGAAATTTCATTTCCAAACCGAAATCTCGGTGGTCTCACGTAATCAGCCTGCGAAAAAAAACTGGCGCGAAACCACAGCGGCCAAGAGAGCTAGCCTTCCCGCCAAAAATTCCCACCACCCCTTTTCTTGTCATTTTCTTTTTCAGAGGCCAAGAGAACGCTTCTTTATCACAGCGAGAGTCCAAACCCTAACCCTAATTTCCATCAACTCTCTCATCATGGGCAGGAAGAAGAGCGAGAAGGCGTCCCATTCTCTCTCTAGATGCGATCAATTTCTCTCTCCAGGCATCGCTTCTCCTGAATCATGTGAAAGATCGACCAGCAATGGTGGAAAGCCCTGCAACGAATCAGAGACCTCGCCGAAATGCAAGAGAGAAGCGGAGAAGTCTTCATATCAAGGGCCTTCTCCAAAGCGTCGTGCCTGTGTTCAAGAGAAGCAAGGATCGCCTCTGAAAAGAGGAATGGAGAATCCAATTAAGCAAAATGGCCACGAAAATGTCAGTTCCTTTTCCCCCTCTCACTACATTTATCTCTCTCTATTCCCATTTCTTCTACGTTTATATCTCTAGTTGTTTAGCACATTGGTTTATGCCTGCAACTCGAGAGGTTGGGCAAAGAGCTCTGTAACCCTGTGGCGTCCGCCTGAATTCTATATCGAGCAAAACGGCCACAAAGAGTAGTTATCTCTCTCTCTTTCTCTACATTCATCTCTCTCTCTCGCTCCTCATTTCTTCTGCAATTCTCTCCACTCTACATTTCTATCTGTACATACACTCTCTCTCTAAATCTCTCTCTTCTGCATTTATTCTACAAAATTGCTACGAAAATGTTAATTCCTGCTCAATTAAGCCAAATGGCCATGGAAATGTTATTTCCCTTCCTATTTCCCTCTCTCTCTCTTTACATTTATCTCTCTCTCTCTCTATTCCTTCTAGATTTCTCTCTCTACTTGTCCATTACCTGGGTTTGTGCCTGCAGCTCAAGAGTTTCGGCAAAAAGCACCATAATACCGTGGTGTGGACCTGAACCCTATATTATGGTGGATTCAACTGTCCGAGTTTTGATCTTTTGATACCGCTCTTTTTTTTGTATGTTTATTGATTGAAGATTCAGTGTTTGTTTTGTAATGCAAACATTATATGCATTCTTCATCTCAATTATTTAATATTGACTTTGCATACATAAAAATTGGTTTTCAGCAGGGATGTCACAGAGTTCCTGATGCCAGATTCTCAGTTTTGCCTAAATCCCCTCGGAAAAAGCTCTCTAATCTCTTTCCTCAAACACCAAATTGGAATCCCAAAGGTATGTTTGGGGTTCCCTTTTTATTTTTATCAATTTTCTTTTGACTTTACCTTTGGGATAATATTATCAGTTTTGGATTGAATTTTCCAATATTGTTTTTGCTTTTAATCTATATTTCTTGTTGGGTTTCAGATCCTGCTCAGCTGCAGTTGGTGAAGACAGCACTTCATGTATCTATGGCACCCGGTTTGATGATTTGTAGAGAAGAAGAGCAGGATAAAATATTTGGGTTTTGTCAGGATTGCATAAACCAGGAGAAGGCTGGGAGCCTTTATATATCCGGGTGTCCTGGTACTGGAAAAACCCTTTTAATGGAGAAAATGAAGGACCTTTCTGGTGTTTGGGCAAAAGATGTAATATAATTACCCTCTCTATTAATGTTTTTTGTTTCTTTTCCTCTATTTTTTCTTTATGAGATATTAAATTAAGTGTTTGAGAAGAATGTGAATAAAAAGCAAAACATTTCTACAACGTAACACTCTAATATGGGGTTGACATTGTCACCAGTTGGGTGGCCCAATTCCAAATTCCATGAAACCATCAAAGATACAATGCTATTAGAGAAAGTTGGATGTTTATGCTTTTCACATTTTATATTGCCAATATGAAGATGAATGTCATGCTCTTATTAATAATTAATATTAATGGACTGTTACTTTCCCTTGATATTTTAAGTTTCAGGAATGTCTATGCAGGCTTTAAACAACTGTCCTGATATTTCTACGTATTTGCTTATGGTTTTTGTCTTTTGAATTGTAAGTGATATCCTCACATAGGCTAACAGGTGGTTCTTCTGGAATTTGACCAGGCTGGACATTCTCCTCCTGATCTGTTTGCTATAAACTGCACTTCGCTTGCAAAAACCTCTGATATTTTCAATAAGGTAATGTTCTGAATGTTTTTTTGGGGCAGGTCATTGGTTGTGATGTGGTATGTTTATCTTGTCTGTTCTTTTATTAATGTGACCTTCATACAATATAACTAGGACGTCCCTTCATGACTTCTGTTGGGGCTCTTCTAGCAGATACTTGATAAACATCAAGGGAGAAAGAAGCTTAATAGCAGTTGCTCACCTCTCCAACAACTTCAGAAGTTATTTTCTTCCAAGCAAAATTCTTCTGCTGGGAAAATGATGTAAGATTATTTCCCCTTGCATTTTTCACCTATATATTGAGTTTATGAACCTCAGACTGTTTAATAATTGTTGAGAAAATTTTAGAACATTACATGGCACAACGGCTGAGATTGCGTAGGTCGTCCAGAAATCTGAAATTATCTGACATTTCAAGAGAATACATGGTACCCTTATTCCCCTGGTTTGGTTGGTGTTCTAAAGACTGAACTCTGGTGAAATAATCAATATAATAAAACTGGAGAGTCCAACAACAGTTTGATAATTGAAGTTAGTGAACCAATTTATATGCAGGTGTTCCAGGTATTGTCCTGATATTTTCATCAATCTTTCTCTGTTGTGCATAGATGAGCACAGTTGCTACCTTTTCCTCTCAAGCTAGAATTGATGCTTTACAGATGCCACTGATCAATTTAAGACATTCATTTTTTCTTTATGCCAAATTTCTACTAGCTGTCTGATCACATTTTCTTATGGAAGGTTGATGATTATTGATGAGATGGACTATTTAATCACAAGAGACCGATCTGTGCTTCATGATCTTTTCATGCTCACTACTTTGCCATTCTCCAGATGCATATTAATAGGTATGATGGTTGAGTTCCGAAAGAAAATTTAATAGTTAATGGGTATCATGATTGAGTTCTTAAAGAAAATTTAACAGGAATTATACAGTCAATTGAGTGATAGATCTGGTTCCAGCTATCATGTGGTACTTATTAGGTATTCAAATAATGTCATAAAAGAGCCTTAAATATTCTGGGGTGAAAGGGATTCTAGGAAGGCTATATCTTATGAGTAACTTGTCGTTGGGTGTCAACAACTAAACCTTCTTCTTGTGCAGGAATAGCAAATGCTTTGGACTTAACAGATCGGTTTCTTCCCAAACTGAATTCTTTGAACTGTGGGTATACTTCTCCATAACTTCATATATATATACGCTCACGTAGATGTAGGTGCAGGCTTGCTCTTCTCTTTTACCAATATGAATGTACGATATATGAAACTACTTCAGTGAAGCCCTAGGGAAAGCATGCCACAATGCATTGAAAATACACTAGGGGAAGAATTCTATAATCCACAATAGTATGATGTACAGTAATCCAAAGGGATATCCAACGTCGAATTTTGGTGACAGATGGTGGAGACTACTCGTGCCTCTGAGAATGTTTTGTTGGGTCTCACAGTAATAGATCTCCATTGTCCATAATTCCAAATGGATGATGAATATCCTTTAGAGCACTGTACTGTATAATGTTATGGATTGCATATACATTTCCAAATACATGATTCCTGAATTGCATTCTATGTGGTATGAAATCTCACTGATAACCTCAAATTGATGAGAAAACAGAGAAGTGAAACCTTGTGGTCAAGATTAGATGAATGTCAGTTTGCATCTAGGACTTGGCATATCATGTAAATCATAACAAAGGCTGCGATATATGGACATGCCATAAATGATTTCTTCTATTTTTTTTGGATGTTGGTGAATTAAAAAGTTCTCACTGCAATCTGCATATCAATTTTGCCAGGCAAGCCTGCTGTGGTTACATTTCGAGCTTATTCTAAAGATCAGATACTCAAGATTCTTCAACAGAGGCTCATGGTAGTCCTTTTCCTCAATAGTTATTCTTTTATTATAATTTTTATTTATCACTGTGATGAACATTTGTTGCTTCTTTAGCTTCTATAAATAGCTTTCACTCGAGATGTGATGGCTTTCATATCAAAACCTAGTTTCCTTATTTTAACTTACGTAATTAAACTAGGACTGACCTCAAGGCATAGGTGGCCAGAGTGGCGGGTGCCACAACATGACATCTTGAGTTCCATACTTACTACGGGTAGGGAACTGATTCCCCACTTAACTACCCAAAAAAAAAAACTGAGTTCGCGATAATTTTTGTGAAGCCTTATGACTAACTTCTGAAACTTTTCAGTTCACAGAACAACGGAAGAAATTTGCATATGTGTTGGTTTTAACTTTATTTTTTTTCCTTACAGGCTTTCCCCTATACTGTTTTCCAACCACAGGCTTTGGAACTTTGTGCAAGAGTGAGTTTACTTTTTATATTTTGTTACACTTTTAAGTTTTACATATTTGCATTCTATATCCCTGGATGATTTCATATTTGTCACATTGTGATTCTTTTTGGTTGTAATATGTCACACCCCAAGAATTTACAATACTGATATTCTTGAGATGTGACAGTCCAAAACATATATACATCTCTTGATAGGACAAATTTACAGTGGCGAGGTCTTACAAA